GGTGCTGGGATGGGTGAAGGATGATGGGTGATGGGTGCTGGAATGGGTGACAGGATGGGTGATGGGTGCTTGGATGGGTGATGGAATGGGTGAAGGGTGCTGGGATGGGAGGAGGATGGCTGGGTGCTGGGCTGGGTGCCATGCCTCCCCATACCACTGACCTGTGCCCCCTGTTGCAGCCCTCAGCCGGTGCCCATGGCCGAGTACTTCGTGCCGCCGGCCCCGCCGCCCCCACCGCCCGTCATCCCCTCGGCACAGACGGCCTTCGACAGCCCCATCTCGGCCCCCCCCGCGCTGGCCCCCGGCTCGGCCGGGCCCCCCTCCTACGCGCCCTCGCCGCCCCCCGCGCCCCCCGGCCCCTACTCCGCGTCCCCGCCGCAGGCCGGCCCCATGGGCCCCCCGGTGGCCCCCCCCCCGCCGCCCCCGGGGCCCCCGGCGGTCTCTGCCTCGCCAGCACACTCGGCCTCACCACCCGCCCCCGCCGTGGAGCCTCGGAAGCCGCAGATCCCGCTGATGCCCATGAGCGACGCCCGGAGCGACCTGCTGGCAGCCATCCGCAGGGGTGAGGGGGCAGCGGGGTGGAGGCAGTGGGAAGGGGGGACAGGTACCCACAGTGTCACCGCAGGGGCAAAATACCTCTTGGAGTAGAGCTGGGGAAGCATCGGCTTCACTGAGTGCAGGATGAGGCCCCGGGTGGAAAGGTGAGGGGTGGAGATGGTGACACCCAGGTGGGACCTGAGCTGGGGAATGAAGTGCAGTGCAGGGTGTTGGAGAGAGGCTGGGCGCTCATTGCCAGAGGTGGAATGAAGCCCCACAGATCACTGGATTCCTTTCAGGCTGTAGAGGATGATGTGCTCGAAGGTCTTTCCCATTTCCCCTTCCTGCAAATCTTGAGGTCGAGTGGTAAATTTAACCTTCCAGAAGGTTCAACATCTTCAGGGTGAATGGAAGCAGAGAAGGAGTTTTATTCTGTGATAGAGCTTTATAATCACACACATTGCATTATTCATAGAATCACTAAATGGTTTTGGTTGGAAGGGACCTTAGAGACCGTGTCATTCCTGCCATGGGCAGGGGTACCTTCTGCTATCCCAGGTTGCTCCAAACCCCGTCCAACCTGGCCTTGGACACTTCCAGGGATGGGGCAGCCACAGCTTCTCTTGGCAACCTGTGCCAGGGCCTCCCCACCCTCACAGGGAAAAATTTCTTCCCAATATCCCATCTAAGCCTACTCTCCTTCAGTTTAAAGCCATTCCCTCTTGTCCTACCAATCCTATGATCTCATATAGCTTTGTAATGACCTACATCCTCCTGCCCAGGGCTGCAGCCGTCTCGTTTCAGCCAATACTATGTAATGGGAGGATGCTGCACATCGGCTGCCCTGCTCCTAAAGCCCTCCCCCTTTTCCTACCGCAGGGATCCAACTCCGGAAAGTCCAGGAGCAGTGGGAACAAGAGGCCAAGAAAGAGCCTGTGGGCAATGACGTGGCGACGATCCTGTCGCGGCGGATCGCGGTGGAGTACAGCGAGTCCGACGACGACTCCGAGCTGGACGAGAACGAGTGGTCAGACTGAGGGGCCCCGGGCTTGGCTGGGCTGGGCTGGGCTGGGCTGGGCTGGAGGAGCCCCCAGCTCTGCCCCGGGTGTGTATAGGCGCCTCCCCCACCGTCGATGCCGACGAGCGCGGGCGGCCCCACTCGTCCAGGAGCTTTGCTTTTACACTTTGTCCAAAACCCTGCGGGCAGCAGCAGCACTGGTAGGATACACCTCGGAGGCAGTGAGACCAGACATTAGCAGCACCTTCACGTTTAATGACTTCCAAAATTCTCTGAAGGCAGGTTAATAGGATTGCTCCGGGTTTACACCTGGAGCAGGAGCAGAGGCTGGCCCTGAGTGTGCTTTGCGTGAGGAGGGAGCCCCAGAGGCAGCAGCGCTTTTCCAGCTGGATGGTAACTGTGGTAACGAGAAGCTCCTGGAGAAGAAGCCTGTTTGCACAGCTGGTGCCACCATGGGAGCTCAGGGATGGCCCTGCATGGGCCTGGGGACCCTCTGCTGTCAGAGTTTTTAGGGTCAGGCAGCTCCAAAGGCTGCCCATGAGCAGGAGCCTCCTTCCCCTGAGGGTGATGCACCATGTTTAGCAGCAGCTCCGTAGGGATGTTCTCCATCACACTGTCACTCCCTGGAGAATCACAGAATGGTTGGGGTTGGAAAAGACCTTTGAAGCCCATTGAGTCCAATCCCTTGCAATGAACTGGGACCCCTTCCACTAGACCAGGCTGCATGAGAAGACCAAGGTGTTGGTGACCTGAGCCCATTCTGTCCTTAGACTGGTTTTCTGGGAGAAAAGGGTGAAGGCAAGGCTTGTGTGGCTGGCAGGGACACACAGCCTTGTCTTTGCCAGCGAAGGATTAAGGTGTCCAGAGAGCTTCCCCAGACCCAGCTCTCCTTGACCTTAATGTGACACCATTTCAGTGTTATTTGAAAAAGAAAAAGAAGTTAATTAGACAATCTGCTGCTTTTAGGTAAACTCTTAACTTGCCCTTTGCAGCCCCACATACTGTGCCTGTACAACTGAGACCAACTCAGAGCCAGGCACTGGTTCCCCCTCCCTGATCCTGCCCCATTCCCTATCCCACAGGGGGGTGCTGATGGGGGAGCTGGAGAGCCAGGCCCCTGCCACAGCACTGAAAATACCTGTGCTCACATCAAAATAGAGAGTGATTCACCCAAGGCTTTTCTCCTCCCTTCACGGAGGGAGGAGGTACAGGAAGGCAGAGAGAAGGGGTGGGGAGTACTGAAAATATCACAGTCAGGTGCAAAAACCTGCAGAGAGCTGGGAGACATTCCCCACCAGCAGAAAATGGGCCAGGACCAGCTGTGGACTTGCCAGAATGGTGTCCCCAGGCCCTCTCTTGTGTTCCCTTATACCACAAGGCTCTGAATGGGGGAAGAGTGAGGCCCCATGTTGCAGCTCTTCTGAGGAAAGCCTGGGCTCTGTGCCTGCCTCTCTGCCTCTCCCAGCAGCCATGTAGGTGATGGCTACAACAGAAGGATTTTGACTCTCCAGAAGCAACCAGACCAGTAAAGGAGATGGGAGGGTACAGCTGGGACCCAAAGGCTCATCCTTAAGTTCGTAGAATCCTAGAGTGCTTTGGGTTGGAAGGGACCTTACATCTCACCTCATTCCAATCCCGTGCCATGGGCAGGGACGCTTTCCTCTAGACAGGTTGCTGGTTCCTCACCCTGGGAAGTGCTGGTGTTGAACAACACCCCAAACATCTGCTCATTTCCCCCTGGTGAGAAACTTTTCATGGCCAGATGTGGTGAATCCTCTGCCCAGCTGCTGAGAAATGCCCCCAGGAGCTCTCCTTTCTCTTGGCTGCCACAAAACGGTCTCTTGTCCCTTGGGAGTGACACCTCCCACACCTCCACACCTGGACTCTGAGCTGTGGTGCCAAGTGGGCTTGAGCAAAGGGGCAGCATGGATGTGGGAGAGGGCAAGGCAAGAAGCAGAAGTGCAATAGGATGCATGGAATAGCTCATCTACAAAACCCAAGGAAGCAGGACTGACCAAAGGAGGCAGGGAGACACAATGCACCAGGAGGTCAGGAAATTCCTGATGCTTGGTGCTCGCCAAGAGCTCTCGTTTCTGATATAGACCCTCTGAAACACAGGGAACTGGCTGCAAAAGCTTTTGGCCAAAGCCTGGCCAAGACAGCCCCTGTGATGGGCCTTCCTTGGGAAAGCAGCTGGGATTTGACCTGGAACATGTTCAGAAGGAAGTGTTGTAAAAATTCAGAGCAACATTTAAGCAGATTCCTGGTGGTATTTATTGTGGAGCGTTATTAACGTAGACATGATTCTAATCCTGTTTGTGTGTGAAGAGAAAGTGGATTTATTTGGATAATTTAGAAAAAGTAATACATTTTATGAGGGAGAGAGAATAGCAGGGGCTGGGGGAGCTGCTCTTACCTGTTATGGGGGTCAAAGGGCTGCAGAGTCAGTGGGGGGGACCCAGTGGGGGCTCAGGCAGAGCTGAGTCCCACCAGCCCTGGGAAAGGGTTCAGGGACACATGGGACTGGCTTGTCCCTTGGATCTCTGACTGGCCCAATTCTGCAAAGCTGAGCCAGTCCTGGTGAGAACTGGAGAGTGGTCCAGTGCTCCTGGAAGACCAAACCCCTTCTTTTCATGCACCAGTTGCTCTGTGTGTGTCACGTTGGAACTGTGGTCATTCTGGCAGGACTCTGGTGTGTGGCAGGTCAGGACTGTCCCTGTAGCCTCCCACTGCCCTGTCACCTCCCCGCAGCTGTGCTGCACTTGGGATTGGCAGCTGTCAGTCAGCCCATGCCAGTGTCAGGGTCGATGCTGTTCCATGGCAAAGCACTTGACAATCAGAATGTCTTTGCTTGGAAGGGACCTTGAAGGTCATCTAGTTCCCTCAATCCTTGCCTGCCCTGTGCACAGGCCACATCTGCAGAGTGGGTGTACAGCTGGGAGCCTCAGGAGGGCAGGTAGCAAGGCTCCCCTGCCCACTCTTCCCCACTCCTTTATGTTCTTACACCATCCTCTCCCCTTTGGACATCCCAGCACATCCTCACCATTCATATTCTGCTTACAATCTCCAGCCCTTGATAACACAAAGACATTTCATGTGCTCAAGTCCAAAGCAAGTCAGCAGGACCATAACTTCCCAGCATTGCCCATTGCTTGAAAACATCATGATCCTCCTCTTCCAGGGATCTGAACTGCCGTGGCAGCCCTTAAGCTGTCCTGGTAGCAGGGATGGGGCTGATCCCCTGCCCTATCCTCATCCCAGTGAGGTCTGCAGCAGAGCTCGTTGCTCAGCTCTCTGCTGTAGCTGGTGGAGAAGTGACCTGTGTAGTTAGGGTGGGCTGTAGAACCCATTTCTGGTCTGGTCACAGTGATGCTCTTCCCAGCTCTCCCAACAGCACCACAAGGCAGGCAAGCACCCGGAATTGCTAAGGTTGGAAAAGACCTCTAAGATCATCAAGTCAGACCATTAATGCCACATGGTGGCACTGAGAGCCCCGATCTCATGGCACAGCCACTGCATCCTCAGCACCTTCACCCGGCAGTTCAGCCACGCTGAAGCGTGACCAGCTTCATTTTAGGCACATTCATCTGCTTTTTGCCCAGGTGACCTATGAAATCCAACAGAAGCAACACCAGTTCCTTGGCTGGGCTGGGCTGGCGCTGCTGGAGTTGGTTGTGCCCCACTCATTAACACTGCCTGTCTGACCCACATGCTGCACACTCCATATTTTGTACATATGTGCCTATTCCCGGATATTCTTCCCAAAGTAGGCCATGCTGTGTTACACAACTTGAAATGCTCAAATCCTCATGTGGGCTGATATAAAAGTGAATATTTAAATATTTTATCTAGCTTGGCAGACATTAAAAAATACAATCCAGGTCACAGATGATTGAATTTCTCCTCTCTCAAGAGTACCAGAATTGGGCTGAGGAGATCCTCCTGTATATTAAGGTATCATGTTCCATGTTAAAATATAGCAGTGGCATTTCTTTGCCAATGGATAATCACGGAGTGCCAAACATTTAATGAGCCCAACTGATCTCCTGAGAGCTCCTCTTTCCATTTTATCTGCTTTCCCCTGCTTGCCAATTTATGGGCATAGATTAAAAATAATAAATATGACTGCCAACGGGGGGAAGAACACCCTGAGTGCATACAGATGGATTGGGCTGGAGTCAGTGGAACAGTAAATAAGCCAGTTTTGTTCTGCTTGGAGATATTAATGGAAGGCTGCGGTCCTTGAGCTCCATCAGGAACCTCTTGGACATCTCTGGTTCATCTAAAAATGGACGCTGTGGGGACCAGAATGTCCATGGTGCATCTGTGAACCTACACCAGGTGTGAAGTCTGGTTTTGCTCAAGTTTCTGAAGGTTGGTGGAAGTCTAGCAGTGTTCATGCCTGGCCTTGCACTCAGCGTCTCCTTGGGTTAGAGGGACCATTGGAGCTGGCTCTGGATGCTGGTTAGAGGTGTCCTGAAGGAAGAATGGATTGGGTAGTTTCTAACTTTGCACCCTGGGAAGAAACCTAGAGAGGAGTGAGCATCACATCCCATGAGAGCTCCTGCTTCTGCCGATGTTTTTTCTGGGGAAGGTTTTGCTCCTGGGACAAACATGAGGCTGAACTTGGCTTCTCCAGAGACCTCCCTCAAATTTTCTCCCAGCAACTTTTTCATCTCTATTTCCCTTTCAAGACATCCAACAGCCTGAACAGAAGCTTTGCAGACTCCCTTGGGGACAGAGCCTGAATTTAAACCTCAGCTTTAACGATAAACAGAAGTTTTGCTTGGAGGGAGGTGGTGTTTTGGAGGGTGCATTCCAGAGGTCCATGGCTGGCAGGAACACAGTGCCATTTCCCCGTGGATGGACCGTGTTTGGCCATGGGAAACACTCCCCATCATGGGATGCTGGCAAGGGGAGCGCAGGCTGTTCCTTTCACCGAGATTCCTGTTTTCCTGTAGTAATAGTTATTTAGGGGTAAGGTTTTCTCAGCTGGAATGTCACTTTACAGATTAAAAAAACCCAAAACAATAAGGGCAAGGAGTCTGTCCTAAGGAGTTTACAGTCTACAGCAAAGACCATATAACCTGCAATGCACTTTAGAAGCCTCAAATGCTCACTCACCCATGAATTTACCCTCCACTGGGCAGCAGCACCTCGAGGACTGTTGTCCCTTCCTTAGGTGACCCCACGAGCAGCCCCACGACCACATCCCCCCACTGATGTCACAGTGGGGCTCTCCTGCCCCTCCACTACTACCCTGCAAAAGTGCCTGAGCAAAGTCCAGGAGTACCAAGCCATGCTGGGTTTGTCCCTGTGCCCTCAGGGTGGGCCTTTCCCAGTCCCCACGCAGCTCTGCTCTCTGGGATGGCCATGGATGTGATGGGAACCATGCCTGGATGCACCACTGCCTGCCAAGACTTGGAGCTGCTCATCAATTCACGTGGTGGCCTCTGAGCTCATGCAAAATGTCCTCCTTCAGACACTTAGAAGCCAAACCAAGACTTTGACATATTTTGATCTGTTTGAGAGTCAAAGGATGGGGGAGGGTTGTGAATCTGGTCTTCCTTGGACAAACTCCAGGTTTTCTAGGATTGTTGTCTCAAGCTCTGCTTTCTCCAGGTAAAAATTGAGCCTGGATTTTGCTGGGGAACGGAACGAAAAAAACCCAAACAAAACTCCCAGTCAGGACCTTCAGTGAGGTTTGCCCCAACGCCTTCAGAACGTGCCCACAGGCAGGGTGGGGGCAGGACACCGGGGTGTTCCCAAGGGAGGACACCACCCTGGTGCTGTCATGGCTGAGGCAGAGCCTGCAGCAAGGGAGGGGCTCTTGGTGAGGGAAATCCCCAGGCAAGATCTGGATGGAACGTGCTTGGCCACAGAGTCCCCAAAGGCAGTGCAGATGTGACTTTATCCATATTAATGTCTGGATTACAGACTGGCAGGACCCTGAGGCCACGGGCTCCTCCACGGTGCTGCGTGATAGCAGAGCAGGGATGCTTCACCCCCCGTGGGCATCTCCTAGTAGGGATCTTTCCACAGGTTTCAGGCTCCCAGAGGTGCCTCTGTAGTCTCTTGTTCTTTGCAGGAGCAGGTTCAAACCTGTTAAACAATGACCTGTCGGTGTTGTGAGCCCAAGTGTGTGGGAAGTGAGCCTTCCCCTGCACACCTTTCCCGTGGTGGCAATGCCAGGGCCCTGACCTGGCCCTGGGGGACTTTCAGCCCAGTGGCAGCTCCAGCACTTAGTTCTGCATAAAGTGTTAAGAGTGCAAAGAGGAGGAAAAAAATAGAAAGAAAATAGCCCAGCATTTTAGGTTGGTTTTTCTCCCACTGCTCTGTACAGGGAAAACCTCAGGTGGGTAAAACCCCCTGAAAATTCACAAAGGGCAGTGGGGAAAATAACTCTGTTCTCCATGTCAGTGAGGGACTCAAGTGCATGGCACAGGAGTGAGTTGTGGCAGAAAGGAGCTGAGTCAGATCTCGGGGAAGGCTTTGCCAAGGCAAGGGATGGAGAAACTCTGAAACAGGCCACAGAGGCTCTGCCTTGGGAGGGCTTTGAGAAGCAGGTGGGCAAATGCCAGGGAGGAGCACTGCCCATGACCTTTTTATGGGCCAGGGGGTGGTGGGGGTGCCCACAGGGCATGTTTTCAAAACGTGTTTGTGGTTCTGCCTCATCCCCTCCTTTGGGTGTCCCAGCCCCAAAGCATCTCCCACCAGCCAGGGCAGCTGCTGAGGCTCTCTCTTGGTTTTGGTGTTGACCCTTAAATGCAATAAAGATAAAACACCTGAGAGGGAAGGGTGTGAACTGAGTGAAAAACCAGGGCATGCAGATGTTACTGCTGTATTTCCCTAGTTAGAAGGCAGCAGCTCCAGCAACTTGCTCCTGAGGACCCTTCATGGCCTGCAGCTGCAGTGGGTAAACCATGCTGGTAAATTAGGGTGGAGTTTTTAAAAGTTACCCTTTGATTTGGGTAGATGAGATCTAGCTTAGATGAGAAATCTAAAAATAAAACACAACCCCCTCCCCCACAAAACTAAAAAGCAAACAAACAACTTACACGTGATTTCCAGAAGGACAATTTGTTCTGTTCCCTTCCCCTGGACCTCGAGGGAAGGTCAGACCCAGCAACTCATCCCAGCTATCATCAACAAAATGAAGCAGGTCTCACCACTTCCAAAAAATCATGTCCTGAGGAAACAGTATTTAAGACAAAGCAGTAAGAACCTCATCACAGTGCAGCAAGGAGAGGGGTCTCTTATCACCCTAGGAGGTGCTTTTGACCCTGAAGGCCCTTCCCCAGCCCAAGTGTTTGAAATCCTGTTGATTTTCACCTCTTACCAGTGCTGGTCCATGCCTGACACAGCTGGGAACACTTACACCACAGCAAGTCATTTCTTACCATGGAAAAGGCAACCATAAAAGTCTTGTCTTTGAGCCTGGTGATGTTCCTGTGACGCCCGTGGAGGAGAGGGTGATTTCCTAATGGCAGCAGGAACAGCTTTGGCACAGTCCTGCCAGGTCTTCAAAAATCAAACTGTTATGAGCCTCAACACCCCCCTCACTGCCCCTTCCCCCCCCAATTTATTTTATACTGAGATGTTTCAGGTCTACCTTTAGTTCTGGCCAGTTTTTATCAAATGGGGCCATTCTTGGTGGTGCTTTTCATCTCAGATCAGAGCAGACCAGGAAAAAGAAAGAAAATCATAGAATCCCAGAAGGGTTTGCTTTGGAAGAGACCTTAAAGCCCATCCAGTCCCACCCCTGCCATGGGTAGGGGCACCTACCACTAGACCAGGTTGCTCCAAGCCCTGTCCAAGCCACTTAAGTCCCCCCACAAAAAAATCCTCAAACAAACCCCTTTTCTTTGAAATGCATTTTTAGGAGATTTTGGGGCTGATGGCTCCTTACCTTAATAGATTTCCTTAATTGTGGGGCTGCTTGACCTGGGGGGGATCTGAAGCAGGGTGTCCCCAGCACGAGTTTGGGTTGATGCTGAGCTGTGCTGGCACTTCCCTCCCCTTGCTGTGGGATGTGCCCTGTCACACCAGGGCTCATTCCCACTGGGAATGCAGTGGGGCCACAGTGGTGTGGCAGCTCCTTACTGACACAAGTGCCTTTCCTGGAGGTCCCCACGGGCTTCCTGGGGTGGGTGGTCTCACTGTGCTGGGAAAGGGCAGCGCTCACCTGGGGTGGAAACCTGGACCTGCCCAGACCCCAAGGTATCCTCTGGGAGTCCTCCTTCCCGCACAGGGGGTGGTCTGGGGAGCTGGTTTTGGCCAACCCAAGAAACCTGCTCTGGCAAACACACATCTGGGTGCACATGCCAGGGACAGGGGCAGGGACAGTCCCCAAAGGACACGTGAGGAGTGCAGGGAAGGGACAAACCCTGTCCCCACTTTGCTGTGGGACGTGCCCCTGCTGGTGGGTTTGCTCCAGGGTAGGCACATTGCTGCTGCCATGGACAAGCCTTCAGGCTGGAGAGCCTTCCTCCTCCTCCTCCTGCTCCTCCTCCTGTCCCTCCCAGGGCCATGGGCCAGAGCCAGCTGCTGCAGCAGGACAGGAGCCATTTCGCTGCCAGGTTTCCATCCCCTTCAGAGTGAGGCCAGGTGCTGTAGGAGAGTCATTTTGGGGGACACTGAAGACAGGTGAGGATCATCTCCTGTGCCCTGCACCCAGCAGGCTTGGGATCAAGACACCTCAGGCGCCCCAAACCTCCTCTGCACCACCCAAACTCAGCAGCTCTGAGCCAGGGAGACCTCCTGGAGCACTGGGGCAACCCACCCTGCTGAAATAGAGCATCCACCTTGAGCTGGACATGTTAAAAGCAGTTTTCTCCCCTTTTGGCACTGACTGATCATACAAACAGCCTGGAACCAGAGCTCGGGCCAGTCTTTGTGGAGGTTGGCTCCAGCTCTGCAGGGGTGGCACAGTGGGGACAGGGAGGTGCCAGCCTGCATTGGCTTCCCGGGTGCTTCCTCAGCATCCGTGGGGCTGCCCTGGTTCTCCTGCAAAAGGCCCATTTTTTAATAACAGCAGAAGTATTGCCCGTATCTCCTGTGATTTGCCATTGGATAGAAGGAGCTGATGGGAGACAGGCATCTCTCCCAAGGGAGGGTCACTTGTTCCAGGCCGTAATTGATTTCCTTAATTCCATAGCTGAGATTAAAGAAGGAGATGTTCACTGTCTGATGGGGTCTTTAACCATGTGCACTTAGTCAATAGGTGAGTAGATGTTGCTGCCTGTATCTATCTACCCTACCCAGTTGCTATGTGTGAACAAGTGTATATCTCCCCAGTGTTGTGGGTTCTGCCTGTGGTGACACGATGAGGGAAGGTGGGGACTCCTGCAGCTTCCTTCTGTACAGTGTAGAGAGGAAACCTGGAATGACCCCAGGCACCGCTTGTAACTACATTTGTTCAAGAAATGTCATCTTAATCCCAAACTGTTGACACTTTATGCATGTGCTAATGAAATTTAAAAAGAAAAAAAAAGAATTAATAAAGATTTTAAGAGGTTACAGTAGATTTGGGTTTGGCTTTTTGTCATCTTGCCCTCGCTGGGTCCTTTGGCTGTGAGTTATCAGGCCTGTGATATTCCCTCCTCTATCAGAGTCTGGGACACAGAAGAAGCAGCAGAAAGCTGTGATCTCTTTATAACCCTTCATTTGGAGAATCAAGCCCTCAAAGATCAACTAATTCCCACGGGTGTTTAATCCCTGACTCCCTAATCAGAGGGCAGAGAATGGCTTGCTGATGGAAAAGCCTCCATCCTTGTGCTTGGAGGCTCTGAGCAGCAGGAGCTGCTCCTTCCCAACCCCTCAATGTCTCGAGTGGTTCCTTTTCTCATCCAGCTCATCCTGATCCAAGTCCTGGGTGAGGGAAAGCAGAGCCCTGTTCTAGACTTGCCTCAGCTGAAATAAAAACACTGACACACACACTGTATGGCACATACCTGGGACAGGAGCCCAGATCTTCAAATGTTTTAATTTTAACCCTCTTCCCCCTATTTTTGGATATCCTCTTGACAAATCACTTTAACAGTTTTATTTACAGTAATAAAAATAAATTACTCTTACAGATGAATGTATAATATTATACACAATAGAGATACAGTGCAATAACAGCATTGATTTGTTTCCACTCGTTCATAAAGTGCATCAACGGGCTTGATTTAATCATAGGTGAATGATAACTGTACATTTTTCTTTGAGATCAACTTTCCCAGTCAAGTTAAAAGGCTCATGAAAACACTGACAGCAAGACAAGTTGCTGCCCTGATTGCTGAGGAATGACCTGGTTCCTGGGGAATCAGCTGGGACGGGAGGCAGGGGATGGGGTGAAGGGTTCCCAGTCTGTCCGTCTGTGCTGTGACAGCGGCTCCGACGGACACAGCAGCCTGGCCAGCCTGACCCGGGGCTCAGAGCCCCGGGGGGTGACTGGAGAGCAGGACTGGGCTCCGTGTGAGTCTCCAGCTGGGCTTTGCCACCAGAAACTCATCCCTCCCTCCGAGCTGGAGGATTCACTTTGCAGGGAGGATGCTCTGTATGCTGGGGGCTGATGTATTTTGTCCTGCTCACAAGGGACATCAGGAACAAGCCCAGTCCTCTCAGTGTGTGATGTAGAAAGACCAGGCAGAGCCTAGAGGCCTGGCTAGAAGGACAAGCAGCCAGCACTGCCTCATCCTCAGCCAAGTACTGCCCAGCTGGAAAAGAGCTTTCCCTGGGACCAGCCTGCTGTTTTCCAGCTCCCAGATCCTGCAATAAGGCCATAAACCTGTGCTTGTGGTTTCAGTGCCCAGTGACACAACGTGCTGTCAGACATCCAGCACCATCCCCATGGCAGCATCCTCCAGCCAGGAGGGGATAACCGGGGGGAGTTGACATCAAGCAGAGTTTGTGAAGGCAACTAATTACCCTTGGAGTTGGAGACAATTTAGTCACATCCCTCAAATTCAGGGACAGAAGAACTTTGGCCCACCTGTTCTGATTTGGGTCTTCTCTACTGAAAACCCCATTTTATCTCTATAATGCTCTGTATTGCAGAGATTTCCAGTGGGAATGGGAAAGCTCCATTCCTGGGGTTGCAGGATAGTGGGAAGGGTGGCTTTCAGGGGAGCTTGCAGTAGGAACTGCATTGGGAACAGGAGAGGTACAAATGGTTCGGGTGAAGCTGTCTCACCTCAACAAGAGGAAAGGCTGTGCATGAACAAGAGGAGTTACAAGGAAATACCATGTGCATTCAACAATTATTCCTGACAATTAAAGTGAACTCTAATTCACCAGTAACAATGACGTGAGTCCTCGATGCTGGTCAGAACACACCAACACAAGTGATTACCAGGATCAATGGCTTTTTAAAGACCTCCCCACCCCAAATTTGATGCTTCTACAAGAAAGAGGTACTTCATCACCTACTGAGAACAGTAATGGTTTCTTGGGGTTTCATTCAAAGTTCAATTCAAACTCTTTGACATGAACCAGTTGGGGCTGCCACATCAGGAATGAGACCCTTGAGATATTTCCTGCTGGTTGCTGATACGAAGTTGGCTAAAGAGAGATGTTTTCACTGCTCAGAGTCCCAAACTGACCAAAATGGAAAACAAAACCCGAATAAAACCATGCAGCTTTGTTGGTAGAGCCTGTACATTCTACCAGGGGGGTTTTGTTTTGTTGTTTGTTGTTTTTTTTTATTTCTCAGTCGAAACGTGCTGTGACAGCAAGGGCTTGTTGTAAATGCACAAGCTCACACACACCCTTGGCACATCTCCACAAACCTCAGGGCGCTCATGGAGCTGAGGTTTTGTCCCACCCAAGGGTGGCCCTGCCCTTGTCACAGTGTATTCCAGGAATGTTTTCTCTTTCTTTCTCTTCTTCACTCTATCCCCTCAACAGCCAACCACCAATGACAAAAGCACTTCACACCTGCATTCTGCTGGCCGCCAAGTCATGGTGGAAAAGCCAAAGGCACACAGAAACCTGTAAATAAATCACCCAAATAACCAGCGGATTTATTTCCTGGCTACACTGATCTCTGCCATAGGCTTGGGGCTGGTTGGATACCTGAGGTATCAATTTTCCTCACACCTCACACCAGTTTTCTGCCTGTTTTCGGTGCTGTGGATCTACACCAGCTCGAGTAGAGTCCAGCAGTGACATGAATCTAAGCAGGGCCAAGCTCTGGCCCTTCATCTTTCGTCAAATGCAATTTGCAAAGGTCAATATTTGAAGGTACAATGGCAAGGTCTGTGCCAGGGTGAGGACACAGAGGTCCCCCCAGTTAAACACTGAGCAGCCCTCTCCAGGCAGGTCCAGTTCCCACCCAGAGTGGCCATGGAGGCTCTGTGAAAATCAAAGGACACCTGCAAATTGCCAACCAGCAAAGACCTTGTGCTTTGCAGAACTACCACTGTCCCCCTGGATCATCTGAACGGCACAATAATTCAGTCAATGGCTTTTATAGATCTCAACTTTTCTAGTGACAAGAGAATCCAGCCTTACCCTGCCAACACATCCGACACCAGGAAGTGGAGAGCAATGGGACACTCCAGTTGCTCTGTGTCCTCATGGAACCCAGCAGGTAGATAGGGGCTGCTTGGCTCTTTTCACCATGTTGGAATATGTTTTGGATCCCCAGGGAATCCACAGATGATTCACTGGACTGAAAACC